CCCTGTGTCAACACTTCTGTTTTTAATCTAATGGTTTAACTGGTAGCTGCTATAATTCTTCAGAAATTATTAAAATATTAAAGCAATAAGAAAGTCAGAATTTGGGCTGATGTTTATTCTTTTGTACTCAAAACTGGCTGCTACATTTTAAAATCACTAAAATGCAGAAGTCCATAACAAACACAGGTAAGTTAATATACCACTAGCTTCTGAATATGTCAACAAAGCCATCAATTTTCTGATTATTGAATGGCACTCATCATCATTTATATAGCCACACATTAAAAACTCAGGTTGAAACCTGATTTTTATAACTCAAGAATAGTATACAATTAGGCATATTAAGGGAAGCAAACTTTATTTAGCTAAGCTAGGCTGTAGTCACTCAGAGGTGGAAGAAATTAATAGTGATAAAAAGCAGAGATAACTTTATTTAGAAAATAATACTTCAAAATAAAGCTACTCAATATCACTTTTGGTTATATATACAAGAGAAACAAAAACATGTCCACACAAGAATCTGTGCATAGCAGCATTACTCATAATAGCCAAAAAGTGAAAATAACTCAGATGTCAATCAGATCACGAGTGGATTACTAAAATGTGGTAGATCCATGCAGTAAAATATTTGGCAATAAAAAAGGAACACAGTACCGTCACATGCTACAATATGAATGAACCTTAGAAATGTGTTGAGTGAACTGGGCACGGTGGCTCACACATGTAATCCCAGCACTTTGGGAAGCCAATGCAGGTGGATCACTTGAGGTCAGGAGTTCAAGACTAGCCTGCCCAAGATGGTGAAACCCCACGTCTACTAAAAATACAAAAATTAGCCAGGGGTGGTGGCACATGCCTGTAATCCCAGCTACTCAGGAGGCTGAGGCAGGAGAATCGCTTGAACTGGGAGGTGGAGGTGGCAGTTAGCAGAGATCGTGCCATTGCACTCCAGCCTGGGCAACAGAGCGAGACTCCATCTCAAAAAAAAAAAAAAAAAAAGATGTTGGGTGAAAGATGACAGACACAAAAGACCAAATGTTATGTAATTTTATTTATATGAAATTCCAGAATAGGCAATATCTACCTACCGAAACAGAAAGTAAGTGAATTAGTGGTTACTTAGGATAGGGGGAAGGGAGAGAGAAAATAGGAAATAGGGAGTGATCTCTCCAGGGTTCTTTTTAGAGTGATAAAAATGTTCTAAAATTAATTTTAGTCAAGCTTGTACAATTCTGTGAATATACTAGATTCCAATGACCGTATACTTTCAGTGGGTGAATGGTATGACATGTGAATTATACCTCATAAAGCTGTTAAATAAGGAAAACTCTCATGTAAGCTGCTTCTGTTCACATTGTTTCTTGTTATTCATTTTTAGTTGATAACGCTTTTAAAAGTTTCATTCATAATGAGGATGACTTTTCTTTTTAAGAAAAGAATCATCCTTTTCACTACTGCCCTTTTCCTGCTACCTGCATAAAATGACAAACCAAGGTTTCCAACCTAATGTGACTTCAAATAATGAAAATTAACAGTGTGTCTTATTTGGAGAGCCAGAAAGCAACAGAGAATCCTGCCAAGAACTAGTCCTAATTACATCCAGAAACCAACAGAACAGCAATCAGAAGGAGGAGGGCTGTGAGAACTGAAGAGCTTTCTCATAACTGCGGTAGTTCTTTTGCATATATAGAAATGTTTAGAATGTCCTTTGCACAGCTGCAAAGTATTAAGAACCCTGTAAACACATATAAGGTAAGCTTCACCATACACACTCCTAACAGACATTTAGAGGCAGAACCCTATGGCCAGGGGATGGCTCTTTACAACAGTATGATGTGAGAGGTGACTGAGGTGCCACATACCTCAGGATGCCACCGCCAAGAGTCTGTTATATAGTGCCTGCAATGTCCACCCCTAGAGTCAATCCTGTGCCTCCAAAAGGTTCTTATTAAGATGAAAAGGTGTTGCTTCAGTGAGAAAGCACAGTAAAAGCCTCAGAAAACATTCGTACAGATCCCTTTCTCTGGTATGTCCGCTGTAGCCTGATCCTTTAACATGGAACCACCTGAGCACTACATTACGCAGGCTCTTAAGGGCAAGCAGCAAATATCAGCAGGTGCCCAGAGCAAGCACTCAAAACTCATGCAGCCCCACATTCTGGGATCCTGTCTTGGAGACTCACCTCTGTTCTTTGTTCTTTTGAATTGCCGTCTATCCCTCCCCTTTCCCTACTTCCTCTTGTGTTTCTCTGCCACTTTTGGTTTTTCCTTCTCCTTCACCCTGTCTTCCCCTTGTGCCTTCACCTGGGTTCAACACACAGGCCCCAAGCCTCTGCCATGCCCACTTAGGCCAATGCTAAATGTTAAAACCCAAAGGAAAGAACGGAGGCTTGAAAGAATGAGGGAGACACAGGATGGAGACTCTGGGAGCAGAATGAGGAAGAAAAATATCAGGCACAGAGGCCACTGCCTAGGCTGAGCCTCAGTGACACAGAGGCAATGACAAAACATGGTAAATCTTGGGATGGTCCTGCTGAGAGGGACATTTCTAACGCACTTTACCTACTTAACAATTTTGCCCATTACAGAAAAGTTAGAGTTAATGCCAAGTAACAGCTTGGAGCCAAGGATGTTAATGCTTCTAACACAATTAAACATATTTAACACAATCAAACACAATTAAAAAGACAAATAGTTTCTTCTTCTGAGATTTTTTTAAGTGTAACCCCACTTTTTCATAAAGCTTGATTATTTTGACCATTTATAAAACAGATACATTAACAGATTCTTCTTTTCTTATTAGCTTTAGAGAAAGTTTTAATAAGATTAATTAAAGAAAGATTTAATAAAAATGTGAGGTTTTTTTTTTTTCTTTTTAGAGATGGGGTCTCACTATGTTGCCCAGGCTGGTCTCAAACTCCTGGGCTCAAGGGCTTCTCCTACTTCAGCCTCCTGAGTAGCTGGGATTACAGGCATGGACCACCTTATCCAGCTTTGAAAGTATGATTTTATTAACCAAAATTGTTAAGCAGCTTCTGCTTAGAGTTGAGGTAAGATATGCAGGGCAAGCTAAATCACAGACATGTGGAAGAAATCATCAAAACATAAACATGGTGTACAACATGGATGGGTGGCCTCAGGTCTCTCGGCTACACAGGCAAATGGGAATGAGGTGACCACATCTGAGAGACCTAAGTTGTTTCCCAAGTTTACTCACATTTGACTAAATACCTTGTCTTTTTTTTCTTTGTATTAGTAATTCTTTTAATTGGGAGACCAAGCACTGCATCTTGAAACCATCCACAACACTCTGTAACCTTCCCGTGAACTAATGGAGCACAGTGAGCAGGAGAGCAGGCAGAGAATGCCAGAGAGGCAGGCCAGCACTAACAAGGAAGGCTGGCAGCCAGGCAGCGTGATTGGATTTCACTCCAGGTGTGAGAAGGTGGCCTGAGGTAGGCTAATGACATCAGAAAGTTTTTATTTGGAAATAAACCTCAGGATCTATGTGGAGAATGCTTCCTGGTGGGGCAAAAAGTAAAGCAGAGAGACCAGTGAAAAGAGCTGTCCTACCCTACCCGAGTGAGATGATGGCGCAGGGTCCAGCAATGGTAGTGGAAATGAAGTGGATACGGCAGAGGATGGATTCAGCACACACTCCTGAGATAAAGTCAACAGGACATGCTAAGGACTGAAGAGGAAGATGAGAACACAGAGTGAAGACTGTAAAGTGAGGAATGGGCGGTAAGGAAGGAGAGGAAGTGGAGAAATACTGCCAAAGAGGGAAAAGGGGACAGGAGGTAGCAACTGGAGGGGGATGTGGAATCAAGTGAGGAGGTTTTGTTTTACTGGGTGGGGAGAGGTAAGATACTACTGTACGCTGCTGGAAGTAATCCAGCAGAGGAAAAGATTGAGGAATCAGGAAGGGAGATGTCTGCATCAGTGGTGAGAAGGCATGAAATGCATTCAACTAACAAACATTTACTGAGCACCTATTATACATTTTTTGTTCTTAAGAGGTTCATAGTGCAATGCAGGAGAAAATAATATAAATTATTGAGCAGCAAGGTCAGCTCCAACAAAGGTATATACAAAGAATTAATATACAATGATTGATAGAGTGTGAATACACTATATGATATATTAGAGCAGGGGGCATGCACTGACACCAAATAAATGATTAACTTATTTGAATTATGAATATATTTTGGGTAAATATTTTCCAAGCACTTGCTCCCAATTCTACTTTTCACAAAATAAAAATTTGCTTTTATGCTTCTGAAGAAGGTACAAAGATAAAATATCTATTTAGTTATGAAACTGAGCAAGCCCAACTGTTGTAATAAAAATTTTTAATTAACATTAGAGGCAATAGTTCAATTCCTAATAATTTTTTAAAGTTTCACTTACTGTCTAAATTGTTTCCCCCAAGTGCTACTTGACTGAGCTCACAAATAACTTCTCGAGTTCACAAATAACTCTCTATTCCACAATGTTCAGTAACTAGTGACAAAGGAGATTTAGAGGAAAAAAAGTACCATGATTTTTGTGAGCTACACATTTGGAAGGACTAATTCCAGGAGCAAGGGTGGGTTCACAGTGTCCTGCGCGTCTTGCCGAGATCACTCCTGTGTGAAGCCAAAACCTGATCCTCTGAGCATGCAGCTCTGACCAACCAAGCAAACTCGTCAAGCACAACATGGGATGAATAAACAGCCATTTTATTTCAAAGACCTGTACACTATCTGAAAATGGCTCACTTCAGAAGTCATCCACTTTTCAATGTTTCAAGAATACAAACTGAATGAGGGAAGATTTTGTTCTCTAAAATCACAATATTAAAAAAAAAAAAAGATACAGTAATTCTACAACAAAAACACTTACCTCTAGAAATGCTAAGGTTTGAAATCACAAATCTTTGAATCCCAAAGTAAATCAAATACTGCGTTACTGTTTCCCACTTAGACAATTTGACTTAAATTCCCCTCTTCCTACACCAACCTGCTGAGCTGCATCTCCATTCACCAAGTGGGGCATCATGGCTACCTCTCCGTTCAGCAATGGTGGCAGTTCCAGAGGGATTTGGTCGGTCATCATCATTGTGACGTACATTCATGGAGAACTTCCCTCAGCTGGCTTCCTGCAAGAGAACCACCACTTTTAAAAAAGTACTCAGGACCACAAAAATCACCTGTAACATAACAAGTCAGCAATCTAAGTGCTCCATCATGAAACCTAAGTTATTCTAATCTGAGAGCCCTGTATTACTATGTCAGGCCCCAAAGAGGGGTAGAACAAAGGCAAAGAAATAGCCTCAACTAGGAGACAAAAGACCAGAATCTCTAAGTGGCCATGTGAACATAACTTGCCTGTATCTCAGATATATCCAGGGAAACTTGTGCAGTCAGGCTTAAAGGTAGATTCCATTGTTTCTATTCTATTTATTCCATTTATTCCAATGAAATTCATACACATTTTCAAAATAACACAAAGCCTACTTTCATCCCATAATGGTATTTGCCACCGTCATTTAGCTTTGCAATACAATAGAACGAAAATAAGAGTAAATTCCTATTTACAATTATAACTTCTTCCTTAAGAAGTGTTTACATATTCTTCAATTATGCCTAAAATATATGGCAAAGATGGACAAAGGAGAAACGAACAAATATAAATACACACAGACACTCTCACACAATTTTAAATGATCTGAGGAACAATTGCCATATAGCCCACAGTTAAATTTATCATTCATAATAGAGTCCCCAAAATTTCAAATTCAAGGACGTTTGGTCAATGAACCCTTTAATTCCTAATATTCAAATCAGACAAAATAATGGAGCAAATTTTTAAACAATTGCCTCAAATATGTCTCAGGTAGATATGACAGAAATAAAATAATTATTCTCATTCTTAAATACCTCCACTCTAAATGTTAAATAAATGTCTCCTCCTTCCATCCCACCCAAAAAAAGCCCTCTCTTGGAAGTATCAAAAGATATATAAAAGCCACCCAAGAGATTATAAACTTTTTTATTTTAAATAGGCAAAATTTTACCTGTTTATTATACACCCATTTGGAGAAACGAATTGTTTTAAGCAACAAAAAAACGAAGTCTTATCCCAACCAGAAAAGCAAATTCTATAATAACAGGTCTTATAATTCGGTGTTAATAGTACCATCATGCTGTTTTATGAGGCAATTACTCAGTTTCTAAGCAAATAAAAGTACCAAGCCCAAAGTCTGATAGTTTATCCTCATGAAAGAAAACAGATTCTTTTACAATTAAAACTAAGATAGTCCCCGTTGACATCATCATGACTTAATTGTTTGAACTATGAATAGGTCAAATGATGGAGAAGAAATCTAATGTCTATTTCAATTTCATTCCTAATATTCTTTATCTTACTAATAATGCATGAGAGAAAAATGGCTATTTTCTCAACTTGGTGACACTACACAGGCCTATCTTTTCTTTTTTTTTTTTTTAAATGGAGTCTCACTGTGTTGCCCAGGCTGGAGTGCAGTGGCATGATCTCAGTTCACTGCAACCTCCACCTCCCAGGTTCAAGCGATTCTCCTGCCTCAGCCTCCTAAGTAGCTGGGATTACAGGCGCGTGCCACTCTGCCCAGCTAATTTTCATATTTTTAGTAGAGACAGGGTTTTGCCATGTTGGCCAGGCCGGTCTTGAACTCCTGACATGACCTCAGGTGATCCACCTGCCTCGGCCTCCCAAAGTGCTAAGTATGATGTCTCATTTAATGTTTCTTCGAAATGGCAGGTTGGATTAACAGGGCAGTAATTTACATTAAGGGGTCTGAGTATAAGCATCTAAGAGTGGAGAAGCACTTTCACCTCTTCTTCCCCCCTCCTTGGGCACTCGCTATTGAGGCTGTGGTGCAGACTGTGGCTCTGTGTCTCCTCTGCATCCCCTCTGCTACATTAGTGAGTGCCAAAGCTCTCTCCCGCTTGGCATGGTTCTGACATCTCACAGGTGAGTCTAACTAAGGATAGAAGCTCTTCTCTCTTATCCAACAAGGCAACAGGAGTAAACCCATTTCAGGGCCTCCCCCTAGGTCCTTTCAGCCTCCATGGGTCCTTCTATTAGGCCAGTGTACAGTAAATAATGATACAGGTTTAGAGAGTTGAAATGGGAGGAGGGAGATGAGGGTCCTTAGGACCTGCTTTGGGGTGAAGCTCTTTATACTCCATGTGGTCCAACCCATCTAACCAAAGTTTTTAATACTTGGATTTGCAGCTCATATCCAATTAATGGTGCTATTTCGTTCCTATTTCTCATTGTTTCTTGTGTGAGTCCTGTGGGGGAGTGGGGAGGTTGGACTGAGAAGACAGTTGTGATCTGGTACAAAATTTAGGCATTCCTGGTCTCCTGTCTCTAGTACCGAAGAATGTCTCAACACCAACAACACATGTAACACTAACAATTCTAACCTTCTGGTAGGCATTGTGTTAGTTAACAGGACTGCTGTCAATGAGACATAGCAATCCAAGCCCGCTAAACAGCACAGGTGTCAGTCCTAAGCAGGGCATTAACTCCAGGTTCTGCAAGTGTGGGATAAGGTAGATGGATCCCGCAGACCCAGGCCTACAAAGGCCTTACAGAAGTAGGATAGAAGAGTATGGGGACTGACACAGATGTGCAAAACCATCTCTTTTCATAAGGGATTTTACCCCCAAAAGAAACCAAAGAAGTCCACTGGCACAAGGAGATCGTTATATTTGCTTCTGAAAACGTCATAGGCAACTTTAGGTGAGATGCCTGAAAATTTTGCTCTACTACATGATGGACTTTCCACCCATACAGTGTTCAGTCGTTACCAGAAATGACTGGGAGGGGAGTGGAGGAAGGGGAAACAGGGAAGCTGTATGTACAAACACTCCTGAGAGAGATACAGTGGGAACATATAAATATCATACACTCCAAAGCTTCAACTCCACCCAACAGTCACACCGTTAACCATGGAGAAAACAGGAGAATTAATAAAGTGAATGAATAAAGGCCACTGTGAACCCCACCAGTCTCACTCAGCCATAACCAACGTTGCTGATCTTCTCCCTCAGCCACCAGCTTGCTAGAATCCAAGGCCTTCTTTGTAATCCCCAACAGTTTCACCAGATAAACCAGACTTTCCTGACAAGAATATAAGGTAACAGATTCAGTTAGATGGGGCCTACATGCAGCCAACAATGTTTAAATCCCCATTTCTATGCTCCATGCACACACACAGAATACTTTTATTTGCCTAGAATGCAAGAGACATAGAAAGAAATGAATTATTTCGAGGCAAGGAACTGCCCAGCTACTTAAAAGGCAACTGCCTGCCAAGCTGTCCCTTAAAGTGATCATAGAATAGAAACAACTTAGTCCATGCTCCATAGAAAATAGACTAGAGACAAGGCAAGGAGGAAAAGTATAAAAGCATGAAAGCATAAAACTTAGGCTTCACAGCAGTATCTTTCTGGTTATTCCCCAGGCATGAAAAGGGAAACGTAGTGAGTGTTCCTAATAGAAAGTCACAGATTCAGGTTGTGAACTGGGGAAACCACACTGCAAAACCATCAACAGTTAAAGCAGGTTAGGTCGGGCCAGGAGGCCTGGGAAGGCTTGTCATGAGCAGTCATCACTCCATGGTGACAGCAACCCAAAAGTGAACCTCCTCAGTTTTAACCAGTAACTGAGACAAAACTACACATGGACTTAATTCTCAACAGGGTGGCTCAACTCAGCTGTGAGGAAACCTTGGGAATACCTACCTGACGTGAGCCGACAAAGCTTTTCAATGGAATTAAAAGAGGAAGCAATGGATGTGGAAGGCTTTTATCCATACAGTTAACTTTAAGAACCAAAGCTTACTCTATTTGTTTGTAATGATTCTGAATGGAAATTACACATGTTCTTCATTAAAGAGCAGGCTGGCCATAGATTTTTTATTAGGGATTTCAGGACAGTTTATAAGAATACTGTGTTCAGTCATAATGTGATGGATTAGGATGTCACGGAAACATTTTGACCTTACATATACAGAGCTATTATCACCCCACCCCTACTTAAGTTTTTTGTTTTTTGTTTTGTTTTTATCGAGACAGTCTCGCTCTGTTGCCCAGGATGGAGTACAGTGGCGTGATCTCAGCTCACCACAAACTCCGCCTCCTGGGTTCAAGCTATTCTCCTGCCTCAGACTCCCGAGTAGCTGAGACTACAAGCGTGTGCCACCATGCCCAACTATTTTTTGTATTTTTAGTAAAGACAGGGTTTCACTATATTGGCCAGGCTGGTCTAGAACTCCTGACCTTGTGATCCACCCGCCTCAGCCTCCCAATAAGTTCTTATGCTGAATTGTAATGTTTTTTTCTTTCTCTTTTCTTCATTAACCACACTCCCTCCAGTCTCAGCGCCTTTTCCTAAATTTGCTGTCTTAAATTTTCTTTGGGCTGGGCAGCCAGATTGTCAGTTACATACACACACGGAGAGGAGGAGTCCCTGAATACAGTTTCGGAAGTTCCCTGTGTGCTTTGTGCAGGCTTCCTTTTCACCACCAGCTGATTGTCAGCTGTGAAGGTAGCTGAGCAGGCCAGATGTGTGATCTCTCGGTAACTGCACTATAACTCATTTTCATCTCAGTCAAAAAGGCTCAGTAGAAACCACCCTGACTAAACACTTATTTTCTTGGTCTGGGTTCCTTCTTCCCTAGACAGATGTGTATCTGAGCTGGCCAAATCTATCACAGGACTCAGGCATTTTGGTCAAGGCTATACCACATCCACACTGTCCCCCAACACACCACAGAGATGTGATAATGAATCCATTCTTGAAATCAATTACCCTTTACAAATGAAGAAATGCACTGCAAAACTAATAAGAAAAAAACAGAAACTAGATCATCTCTACTACAAGGCATTTATTTGTCGAATCCTATGGACTTCTCTTTCCCCTTCACAGAGCACCAGGGTTTCTCTCCTATTCTTTATTTTGTTTGTACCCATACTTCCATTTCAAAGAATTTGGTAATAACCACAGGCCCTCACAACCTCTCCCCCTAACCACACATAACACTAAAACCACAAGTGCTTCACGCCCAGCTAGTTCTATTCTTTTGATTGACAGGGAAAGGCTGCC